CCAAACTGTAGACCCTGCCACGCCCACACGCCCATGCATAAACAACATTTTCGTTTGACCCAAACGAGTTAGAAACCGGCAAACCGGCAACCCGTGTGCAACCCCCAGCTCCCCAACCCCATTCCTGTGAGACGACGTGTGAAGGTATCGCTCTTTAATATATTTTCATTATTACAAACCCGTTTTCGCCTGGCAACTGCCGCCCAGGACCTGCGCAGCTAGTCCTGTGAAATGTAATATACAATTTGGGATCTCAAATCAGCTCAGAAACTTTTAAAGTATTTTCTGAGCTGCTGCTGGAAATAAATATGCGATAAATATGCCGGGCAGAAAGACGCACAAAACGATTTGTCAAAAGTGGTTTTTCACTTGTGGATTATGAATACTTTGCTTAAATTTGGCTGACAGCAGAAAATTATTGCACAATGATTAATATTTATTTGCGCTGGCCACCAACCAAGTCCCATTGCCGAATGGCAGTGGGCGTAAAATTGGGCGTGGTTACCACAACAGCAGACCCAGCTCGAATTCCAGTCCGAGTCCAGGTCCTTTTCACACAGTCACATCGAGTGACAACGTGCTGAATGTTTTTTTATTTTTTTATATACCCTGTAATCGGCAGTATTTCTTTGAGGGGCAATTTGGAATATAAGGAATCCCTCTGTCTAAGATCTATAAATGAACTTAGCAATTAAATATATTAAGAATTTGTAGAGCTTACCATATAGTGAACCTTAAATCCGATTAGTTGAAGAAAAACAGCGGAATCTAAGCTTAAACCGAAAAATGTTTTGCATCAGCATTTCTTATTGATACTTTTTGAAAATGTAGAAACTTTTCAATACTTAAAAACATATATAGAGAATTAAATAATTTATGAGCAAGAAATTAATAGATGGGTAAAGCCAGGTTTAAAAACATTTTCTGTGAATTTTTTTTTAAAATAATCCTATACCAATCGACTTGTTTAAATAGATTGATTCTTGGTTATTGCTTAAAATGATATTCGAGATTCAAATCGAATGGGTTAATGCTGGCCAATAGTCTTTGTTTATATGTAGCTCCGACGTTTGAATCACTTTCAACTCAGGTAAAGGGTAACTGCTAGTCGCGCCCTTGCGTTGGTTGAGGTTTCTTATGTTTTTCTGCGCAAAAGGCATTTAATTTAGATTTATACGTCGCACGGCACTGTGACAGGCTGGCAGCCCGTACAAAACATAAACACAGTTACTTTTCGAGCGAGTGAAATTATGATATCGCCAGGCCACGAGCCAGAGCCAGAGTCGGAGTTGGAGTTGGAGTCGGAGCCAATCCGAGCCCTGGGTCGAGGCAGGGTCTTAGCCACAGCGTTTGCTCGGCTGCTTGTTTGCTCGACCGCTGATAACTTATCGAACAATAAAATAGCCTTAGGCCGTGCTAGCAGACAGAGACAGGAACGGGAACGGGAACTGGGCCATAAGTCGACACAAGGCAAATAAGGATATGCGCAAATAAAATAGCAATAAATCAAAATCTCTGACGATCTGACGATGTGGCTGGCCCCAGCGATTAAGGCCTCATAGTTGTGATTTCTGATGCTGTCTCCTGCTGCCACATCTAATGGTGTTCCATTCTCCATAAATAAATCGTCTGTGGGTCGAAAGTGATTTTGATTGTTATTTGCTTGGCTCAAGCTGCCTCTGCCGCTGCCACCGTCGCTGCTGCTGCTGTCAGTCCTTCTCGGTTGCTAGGTAATTTTCAATTTATGCGGCTTGCTAGTCGCGTTTTCCTTTGCTCTTGTTGTTACCGTCCATAATTTATGCCAATTGTCAGCCAAGCTGCATGCATGACGGCCAAAAATCAATGCAAGTGCGGAAGTGCCCTACCCCAAACTTTGCGGAGTGCTCTACACCGCCTGCCACTGTCAATAAGGAAACTTCATTATAAATTATCCGGCTGACATTTGCAGCGGGCGGGGCAGACGCCGAACGCATAAGAAGCAGCAGATTTAAGGCAAAAAGCATTTCCCTTCAGTTTTAACGGCAACTGAAGCTTTTACCCACACACACACACATACAGAGGGACACACACACCGGAGATTGTTTCAATCTGCTTAAGCGTCCAGGCAAAGTCATAACGTCAAGCGTAGTCAAGCGACCTGCCACGAGGCAATCAGCCGTGCAACCAGCTGTTTTATATGCTGCAAATCCCTCTTCTTGTCCTGCTCGTGCTTATCCTGATGACTGCTGAATGGCCATTGAAAATGATTGTTGTGTTAAAAATGTTGTATAATTCTGCGGAAGCTGACGTTGACCGTTGACGTTGCTGTTGGGGGCGTTGCATAAGCCATATTAATAGAAAGCAAACATAAACTCGTTAAGCTGAGAAGCTCTATGTGAAATATTCATTCACTCGCATGCAGCTCTTCAATAGAAAACTGAAGCAGTGGCGGGACTCAACTCCACCGGATTTACCCACAATTAGATGCAATTAGTTCTGTTAAATGGCCAGAGCATCTCTATAAATAATCCCCTAATGCTATTAGCATCGTTATGCTGCCATATTAGCCAAAGGGCGAGGTGCACGGCTCGTCAATTAAGGCACCGTCCACGTTTTATGGCGTCACTTTAAAATATATTAAAAAATAAGTAAAAAAAAAAGGAAATAACATATATAAAAAATTTGAAATACGTAGCAGCAGGCGCACTCGACTGCTTTATTGGCACCAGTCAGCCGGAGAGCCAGAGAGCAGCTCGGGTTGGCTGCCTACACTGGACATTAGGTTTTGGGTTTTGGCCGAGGCCATTGATGACAGCGGGCGCCAGACAAGGCCCAGGCGTAGCAGAGCATTATGCTCCAGCTTGTACATGATATGGCGTCATTAAATACACATTACCATGCCGCACGCTGCACGAGATGAAGGGGAGCAGGGGCCACGATAAAGGCAACGGGCAGCAGCGATACAATAACAGCAATAATAAGCAGCAACAGTCGCTGGAGTCAAGCGAGGCGAGTGGCTATTAAAAAGCGCCAGGGAAGATACACATGAAAATACACACACCGACACACGCACAGTCACAGACAGTCACAAATTACAGCATTTCGACAGGCAGCAAATCGAGGAGCGCCACATTCCGTCGTGGCAATTTTGTCCGACGCCCGATTCCTGATGCCGTTCGATGGGAGACGACGGTGTCGAGTTTCAATTGTGCTCGTAAACGTGGCTCCAAATTGGCTCACAGCGAATAATTCATATAAAACACTTTCGCAACGAGCGCCGGCTTGCCATTAGCATCACGCTGTTACAACAGTCCAGGCCCCTTCTCATCAGCTCACCTGGTGGTGCCCACGCTTCTGGTTCTGGTTACGCCCCATGTAACCCCACGATTGCATTTACAGCAAATTATTTATGGCTGCGGCAGACACGAACCGGAAGCGAATATGCGCTGCCAACTTCACGTCTATCAATATTTTATGAAACCCTGTCTGCAGGACAGCACAGGAGCCAGCGACGCGTCCCTCACAGTCGCAAACAAGGACACAGCTACTAGGACAAGGGTATCAGTATCGGCATCAGCTTACTTGGCGTCCTGCTGCCCGGCTGTCTGTCTCTCTCTCCCTCTCTCACTCGCTCTCTCCCGAGCCGCCTGAATGCCTGTCGATATCCGGTTAGATGAGTATCTAAATTGCCTTTACTGTTGATGAATTAGCGCCGGTTGCCGGCATCGCTCTTCATGTGGATGCGGCTGGATGAGCCAGAGCCGGAGCCAGAGCCGTAGTCGGAGCCGGAGTCCTGGAGTGCCTGTGCCCGTTAGATAAGTGCCATCAATGCCAGGCTACCCAAAAGAAATTTCAATTTGCTTTGAATGATTATATAAATACCAGAGTATAGGCCGGCAACGTGGGCTGCCGCTTTTATCCACAGTTTTCAATAATAGTTGGAGAAATAGAAAAAGCATAAGTAGAAATAAAACTCATTTATTTCACACAATAAGATAAAAGAAAATGAGCACAATGCTTTTATGAGAAAATGTATAACAAAAAATAGAAGAGTAAAAGAAAATAGAAGAGTAAAAAATTGGAAGTTTTTGTTACATAATAAAAAATTATTTAGGAGCTTATGCTTAGATGCTTGTTGCTTTATTTAAAAGTTTTCAGCCTCAAATAAACGGTTTTATTTCATTGGATTATAAAAATGTACACAAAGAAACAGACATAAGATTCTCAATTGAGAATGGGGCTTATTTATTGCATAACTCTTTTGATTATAATCTGATATCAATTAAATTGTGAGAATATACACAATATGAAAATAGGATTTGAATGAAATAACTAATAAATATATCTGTTAGGGTAATTCTCGGGTATTTAAATTGCGGCATTCATCCATGCGTTCCAAGAGGTTAAGAAGCGTTTACCCTGAAGATATTCCAACTCGTGCATTCCTATCGAAGCTTGGGACGATCGCTGCTTAGCATTCTATACTTAAACAAAATAATTAAAGTTTCTTCTAGAAAAATAATATTCAATCCGCCTAAAAAAAAATACAAATTTATATTACTAAGAAAGCATCTTTATTTTGTTCTATAATTATAGATTATGATTATTACAATTTTATTAATATGATATTATTATATATTATGATATAATAACTATAATAATCTGTCATGTTACCTCAAATATCATGAATATATATATAATGTCAGCTTAAGTTTGTAGAAGCTGGCTACAGAAAATGTAGAATAAAGTTATTTTATGGAAAATATTGATAAAGGTACAGATATAGATATATGTATATACTATTTGAATGCCCTGCCCAAAAGATATCAACCTGTTGAGTCTACATACTTAGAAAAAGAAAGTTTATGCAGAAAGAGAGAAACCAGCTTTTTTAGCTTGGCATTGTTGAGCTGATTTAGTGGAACATTTATTTCCCATGAGTCCATTTCCTCAAATCGCATATCGAAAAGAGATAAAGATGTAAATAAAAAAAAAAAATTCATTCGAATTTGTTTTACTTAGCATTTTGAGTCTTTTAGATTTTTATAAAACATATTTACAAAATTCTCGTTGGCCAGCAATGCTCTCCCGAAAGGAAATAGTGTCTATTTTACTCCTGTTGACAGCGGTACGTTGCGATTGGCAGTCGAAAAGTATGTTAACCAAAGCATTACCCCTGACAGATGATCTGCATATTGAACGCGGCTTTGTTTTGCAACATAATGCCCATAGCCACGAGCTATGAGCAGTTGGCTCAACAAACCATTAACGCGGGCACCGCCTATATTTGCATCCTGTACGCCCTGAGCACATGGGTATATCACTCGAACTACTCGGAGCCCCGGCGGCAAATACGCTACGTGGTGGGCTCTCAAATGCTGTTAGTGGTTCTAGCCCCTTATTATATTTAATGCCATTTTGTACCACTTCTGTACCACTTCAGCTAATTGCAATGCTGATACTTTTGATTGCGGCCAACTTGGCGGGGCTAGTGACGGTCGTTAAAACGCTGTTCATGTCCGACCTAAGCGAGGCCATGGACATGAGGGATCTATTCAGCTCGTTCGGTTATTTGTGTCGCACAGTGGCAGCTGTGCTGTTCGTGATAACACTTTTGCTGCTGATAATTATTCTGATAATTGTCACTATAACCGCATGCAATCATTCGTGGTCCATATCGAGCCGTCAGGACTCTAAGGAAGACCTGCCATAACAAGGATATTCTACAGCAGCTGCCATTCGGCTGGCAGGACTGCAGCAGAAAAATTGGTTTTCATGTAATGTCAAAAATTTTGTGTTGCCTGCGTGCCAAAAAGTATATAAATATTTTACTCGTAACCCAGACAGAGGCTCCACCAGGTAATAAAAACATAAAAATATATATATATATATATGTATAAATATGTGAATATGTATAAATGCATAAATGCGGGTGACTCAGCCCTGATGTCTGGCAGGCGCCTCAAGCAACCGCTGCAACTGCTCTGATGATACCCTGGGTACATACATATATGACTGTGTGGCTGCGCGTGTGTGTTGGCTGCATTTTGTTCTTTTCTTTTTTTTTTTTTTTGTTATAATAAAAGCACGCAGACAGTGCAATTTTCCGAGCGAGACAAACAAGGTTAAGATACAGAACATCAACTTAAAGGCAGCCCAAACTTGTCAGGCGGAAAAGTTAAAGGCAAGTGGGCGTTGGGCTGGGTTCTATTAGGCGTTGGCCAATTACGCAAATGCTCGACTGGCTACGGGGCAGGGCACATCGGAGTGTTCGCCCATCAAATGTGACATTTGGCAGCAGCAGCAGCAGTAGGGCTTACAGTAAAATTTCCAGTTAAGTTATTGCCGCGCGGAAAACTCACTCGAAAGTAATTTCAAATTTAATTGCGTATAATTTAGATGGGCAAAATGTTTGCGTGCGTTTAATTAACTGAAAAATAAAGCGAAAAAAAACAACAAACAAACCAAATAAATAAAATGGACGGGAAATAAGCAGCAGCGGCAGCAGCAGAAACGTCAACAATAAAAACATCAGCTGCAAAATGTTTAATGTTAAATGCCAACTAATTAAATTTCGGGCCATGCCATGACAGTCGATTCCGGATGTCGAATCGCAGAAACGCAGACCCGTAGATCCATTTGACTCGTGTACACAATTTATTGTTGCATTTAATGGCCAGCCCATGCGGTTGTCCTTGTGCTTTAGTGTTTAACACTTTTATTGCGTATACGCAGTGTATTACGATTCCAAATGCTATTTGTATGCAAATAACGAGCCTTTGCCTAGCAGCGTCTACAACATTCAAATGACACACAAAACCACAAACCAACTGACGGCTCGACATGCCTGGTAGCAGGTGGTGGTGGTGCCAATGCAGCCATCAAATGCCAAATGAAGCCAATCAAAACTAACAGTTGCCAGTTGCCAACTGCCAACTGACATCACGCAACTTAACCAAACCACCTGGTCAAAGTAAGTGTAAAAATGCCGTGCCAAATGCATGCAATGAGAACTGATAATATTTTTAATTATGCTTCACTCATTAACACGATATAATAATTCTTTACATTTTTTTTGTTGTGATGAGGAATTCAGTTTAATGTAAAATAAATATATTTTAATGTGAAATAATTTAATATTAAATTCAGCTATAAAATTAAGACTTTGGCATTGCCTTTAATTTTCGATTGATTTTAATATTTATTATTGGTTATGTATAGATGCATCGGAAAACTGAAGCATACAGCTTTCAAGGAATGCGATACTTTTTAATGAGTGAAAGGAAGTTCTTATTTCCAATTACTGTTCAGCAATTAAAATATTGTGAAAATATTCTTCATATCTGATTATCATTTATATTATCGCTGTCAGAACCTTTTCTCGAAAATTGTGTTTAATTCCGAAGAGCAAACGAAACTCTCTCAATTGCTTCACATGATTTTGCTTCAGATTATGTTACTATAATCTGTCTATCTCTCGTTCAGGAGTCTGTTGAATACTGAATTCTGAAGCAAACTTTGATTATATCAATAACTAGCAGAAATTACCCGGCATTGCATTGGTCAAAATATAATTTGATAAATTCTAATAATTATTACTGAAATTATTTGAATAGTTCGCGCCATGCAAGATTATTTTTTAATTAAGAAGCCACATCAAAAGCTGTCATGTCCATCGAGCTCTTAACCTGGGACTTCATAGCAAGCGGTCCCACACAGGCAACGACTCCATTGTGCCTGCAGCAGACTGAGAATCTTATTACTCATCTCGCAGATAATTAATTAAGTCAATTTTTGTATTTTTAAGTTGATTATCAAACTACATGGAACTTAACGCGTGTACATGATGCTGCATGGGCTATCAGGAGACTGCCAGATATATTTAAATAATTGTAAAGCTATAGTCGAGTGCGCAGGCATTATCAGGGACACGAGTTTAATGATTATTTGCACACACTGTTAATGTTGATGTTTTATTTATTGAAATGATGTAAAACGAGCACGAGATATGGGTCAATTTGGTATGTGCAGCATGGATCGTTAAGGCTATCGATTCGGCAATGCAATAACCATGGCCATTCAATGTGCGCTCAATTCTGACAAGGACAATGGGCACTCACACACTCACACACACGCACACTCGCGGGCCCATGCAATTGGCAGCCGCAGCGCGTAAATTTGGGTTCAGCTCAAAGGGTCAACTGCAAGCACGACAGATGGGAATGCAAAATGAATCTGTGGCATTTGCCACAGCCAGCACGTTGCAGTGGTTCATTGTACGCATAAATTACGCTGCCATATGTCAGACAGTGTCCGGATTTTTTCTCGCTTGCGGACCAACTTGGGCGGAGACCGTCAAGTGGCAGCGTGTGGGCTGCAATTTATGAGCAGGCGGCATCCGCGTCTAATTGCCGCTGGCTTGAAGCCAAGTGACGGGCATAAATATACAGAGCCCACGGTACACGTCAAAACCCATACAAGTGCAACATAACTAAATGCAGTGCAACATGTTGCACAAACATCAATCAAGCGACAGGCGCGCTTAGGTGGCATCCGGCTAATCAATCATCAATCTTCCATCGATGAATGTGACAGGCGCCTTTTCAATCTTCTGTATTTAATAGAAAAAATGTCAATCGAAGTAGTTTTACTTTTTCTTCCACACATTTCTATACGAACTCCACATTCGGGTTTGAGTCTACGCACCAGTGAGACGAAGCCGAAGGATGGACGCGCCGAATGCTGAGGATGAGGCCAACTGGCAGGATAGGGATCAAAATATTGTGGATTTTTTGCAGGACACCTTCGAAGCGTTGCCAGAGGATGATGGCGATTCGGCGGCTGGCGACGGAGGTTGGTTGTCCAAATTCAGTACAAAGTTCAGTTGCAATAATTTGCCCACAAATCGCAACCAGTCGAAGCCAATCCCGAGCTGGAGGAGCATGTCAATCGACCATTGCCAATCAATCCGGAACTGCGACACCGGCCCAGGAATCACTTGTTGGCGCCGTATTTCTGCAACCTGTGCCGCGATTATGTCCGTGGCGGGGTTATCACCATTTGTGGCCATTTATTCTGCTGGACCTGTTTGTGGGCCGATCTGCACAATCGTGTGATGCCGCGTTGTCCGCGCTGCATGCGACGCCTGCTGCTCCACGAGGACATCATGCCGTTCCTGGGCGAGGGACCCAATGCCGGCCCTGACGATGCCAACATTGTGGCTCAGCCAGGCGACGTGCCACGCCCCTCGGGCCTGTATCTAGAACACCAGCAATATCCAATGTGGTTCGCCGTGCACACCTACGAGGAGTTGCACTTTGCCGGCGCCAACGGCGGCGAGCGGAATCTTTCGGTGATCGTGCAGCGCATGCATCAGGACTATCAGCGACCCATGGACTGGGTCAAGTTTCTACAGTGGTTTCAGTTGGGCTGCGCCCTGGGTATCTTTTATCTGTGGCTGTACATAATGTCCTTTTCAGATTAGTTTCTCGTATAGTTCCTATATACATAGATGTGTGTGTGTACTCGCATGTGGATAAATGGGCTGTGCCTTGAATAGTTACAAATTGTTGTGAGGTTTTTAGTTGTTGCCCGAGTGCTCTCAATAAATTCAAATTGTTAAACAATTTGCCTAAATTTGCATACAATTTATTGTTAATTTCTTAGCTTTGGTTCCGCTCCAAATACCTAACTATTTCATGAAGCAAAGCCAAAATCAAAGTTTCTCCAAGAAACAACAACTAACTTTTGGGCGTCACAGTTTAAGCTTGACAAAGGAAGGGGTCTCGGCTGAGTTAAGGGCAGAGCGTCAGGGCGGCAGCAGCTGGCTGACCAGCTAAAACAAAAAGTTCAATGGGCATTCGGGTTAATCCCGAACTTATACCGGTGAACTTTGCCGTCAAGTCCAGCCTTGGGTAAAGTAAAATTAACTTCGTCGTGTTGGTTTTTAATATAAATAATTTTGTAAGGTAAAAACTTAATTTAACTATCATTATGAATATGTATTAATCAAATGTTTCTAACTTTCAAAAGGTTTTGAGACAGGCCAGCGCAGGAGAGAGAGAAAGAGAAAGAGCGAAGGAGGAGATAACTATGTGTATTGAGTTGTTTAATGTACACTCAGAAAAATTAAATGCTTAAGTAAGTTTGAGTGTTTCTTAAATTTTTACAACCACGCTTTGAGCTCTTCAATTCATAAAATATGGCCCAATATGAAATTTAAATCAGAAAATATAGCCCAAATATGTATTCCAAATTCCTATGCATGCACTTATATAGGCATTTATGCAAAACACATAAACTCAGGCGTCTGAATTTTGAAAAGTTGATGCTAAATAAAATCAATAATTGTTCGATCTCTTTGAAATGTCGAGGGCACGAATATGTCATTCACATGTGTGCTTATACCAAATCACAAAGTTCTTACTTTAAAAATTATTTTTTGATTATTACCTAATTTTATGCACAAATATTCATATTGTTAGAACACACTAAGCAGCTTTGTATCGTTTTTTTTTATTTAAGTTAAATTTTTTAAATCTATAATTCTTTTAAGAGCAGACATTTCATTTGACTTTTGTCAAAATTTTGTTAATGATTAAAGAAATTAAAGAAGACTAAAGAATAAAAGTTCGAACTATCTGCAGTTGGCCAGCTGCTACTAATAGGGTGTGTAATTAGTCGATAATCCTTTCGAATGGCATTTGCGGTTAACAATTAAAACGCGGCTGTGCGGCCATCATTTGTCATTTCGATATGAATGCCCTGCGGTGGCAACTCAATCAGCTTTCTTTATGCAGCTGGCTTCCATGTTGACGGCCAATTTCATGGGATCCCAGTGCGATATTTATCATTAATTAAAAGAATGCCATAAAATCCTTTTTTTTCGG